GTGCTTCAATCTAGGTTTTTTAATTTCGCTTGAGTAATTTTCTCTTACGGTTGTTTTTGCAGATGATACCACTGGTAAGCAAGAAGATGGACCAATTTCTGGGTGAGTCCGGAGTCTGTTTATTCGTTACAGCAGCGTATGCTGCGAGATCAAGCCAGGTTAGATGTAGCATCGTGAACACCTCAGAGCATGCTGTGGCCAGCAGCCCATCCTGTTCCCATGGGGTCATCCCCAGCTGCCACACTGGGGCTGCCACAGCGTTGGTGGATTTGGAAGGTGAACTGGATCAGTCCTAAGAAAAGCTACCTTCTAACCCCTGTTTTCCTTCCCCAATTGGTTTTAATTCAGATCTGTTTTCCAGTTTAATTCCCTGGGAAAATGGTGCCTTGAGGATCAGCCTTGGTGCTGGCCTGGTATCAGTAAAGCCATGGCCTGTGCATTAGCCTGGAGAAGCTAAAAGCCTTGAGCCTGGCTTAAAATCTTGACACGATCAACTCAAGAAATCACGTGAGCTGCGTGATTCTGTGCCCTGTGGGTAGGGTTCCAGGTGAAGGCGCTGGGGACAGCTCACCGACGGCTTCCGCTGTCTGCGTACGCACGGGGTCTGTCCCGGTGGTAGCTCCCCTGGGCCTGCAGCAGCGCGTGTCGCCCCAGCAGAGGTATTGCCCGTTGGCCGCTTTGAGACAGGACGTGGTTTTCGGAAGGCTTGATCTTCACCGGACCTCTGTGTGCTCGGCACCTTCAGTGGTTCAGTTTAGCATCCGTTGTCCCTTAAGGCCGTTGTGAATTCAGCATCTGGGATTTCTGAGGTTGTTACGGATACGGTCCCACTGCTGTAGTGGGCATCCTCTGCTTAGGGAATATGAAAACCCGTTTAAAAACAAGTTTTAGCCAGACTTGGTAAATCGTTACCTAAAACCATCAAATGAGCTTTGTGCGAAGGAACAACTTTTTTTAGTTAGATAGAAGGTTGGTGCTGAGTGTCCTAAATCTGTTGTTCCTTGTCACTCCATCCGAATGTAATTTTACTTTACAAGCAGGATGCACAATCAGAATTTCTAGCAGCTTCTCCAGTAACCGCAAGATGCGCCAAAGAAAAGCGTCAGTGGTCATGCTGGTGCTCCTTTTTTTTCCCCTCTTTTTGTGGGTTTTTTTGTTTGGGTTTTTTTCCTTATCTTTGTTGCGCAATGAGAATCTTCCTAAATGAAGAGCTGTGGGGTGTTGTAGGAAAAATGGCTCTGCTGCGTTGTCAACGGCTGCGGCTCTGGGGAGGCCTTGCTGGCGCGTCTGGAGTGCGTGTCTCTACCCCAGCAGCAGGGATTGGTGTAGTTGGGGTACAGCACCCCTGAACACTCTGGGGCCTAAAGGACGCATTAGACACCAGGGGCCTGTGCAGGATGCTGTGCAGGAGGCCGTTAGGTCAGCCACACGCCGGGTCACACTGGCGTTCCCGGGAGTTACGTAGCTGCAACGTGGTTTTTGCGTGCAGGTGATGGTGGATCCATCAGACTGTTCATTCCCGGGCAGCAAAGAGGTTGGGGAGCGACTGTTCCTTGGCAAATGTTTACTTGAGCTCCAACTCACAAGGCTTAACGCGCACCCACAGATACTTCATGTGACTTGAAGCCGAAGGTAACACTTGTCGCTCAGTCTCGGACTCTTAAGCAGATTCTGCGGTTGAGGTCAGTGGCACGAGCTGCTGGGATCTGGCAGAGCAACTGCAGACAGTTTGGGAGCCATCTGTGAGGTTTTGGCCTTTCGCGGTAGCCCGTGTCTGCAATTTGGAAGTCCATGGAGAGGCTGATTTTCCCTTTGAGGTCTTGGCTACCTTTTTAATGTAAAGTCCCGTGAGCCATCGGCTGAAGGACTGGGTGAGATGGGACCTCTGCTTCCTTGGCTAGCTGCCGACCCTTCCTCCGTCTTTTTGATCCTGGCTCCATTGTTGCATTTCGGTGTTTGGGGGGCTTTTCTAAATTGGGAGCTTCAGTATCTGCTCAAATTGTTCTTGGTTGTCCTTTTGTTACGCTCAGTAACTGCTTCTTGAGTCGCGTTGGTGCGACCTCTTGGCTTAACTTGGCTGGTGTCTCCTTCCCCGCCGCCTCTGAAATGGCTTTAACCTGACCAGTGTTGGGATTCTGTGGGGTGTTACGTGTGTTTCTCTTTGGAGATAATCCCATGTACGTTTGTTATCCGCCGAGGGCTTTTAAATTAACGTTAGTGTCTCCAGGAAGTACTGGTGGAGAATTGGGTTTCCTGGGCTATTCTAATTGTCTCCTGAGGAGCCAGAGTTAGTTTGAAGTTCAGCTGGGTTTTACCTATGACATGAAAGAAAAGCACCTCTTTGTATTGTAGTTGTGAAACACTCAGCGTACCCTTTTCTAGCAGGTGTGCACCAGTTTGGCTTTCGTGCCTGGCTAATGCAATAAACAGCGATAACATTTGCACGAGCTCTTCAGTTGGGGGTAGATCTGAGCCTGGCCATTGTTGCATTAGGACTGATTTGTAATGAGTGAGAAGATGGGGTGGATAATTATCCGTCTTTTCTCCTCTGAATTTTAACTACTTGTTAATGTAAGCTATTTATAGAAACACTAAAATCACTTTTTCCTTAATTTCTACGTGACAAATACCCTTTCTGCTTACAAATGCACATATAATTATTAGCATCCTTAGGGATAAGGTGAAATTTTGGTTATTATGGTCTTACTCCTACCAGTTGGGATCGTGCCGAACCAAAGCCGCAGGGTGCTGTAGCTGCCGCGTACGTGCTGGCGGTGGAGCGGCGTCTGGCCAGGCAGCCACGCTGTCCGTCAGGGGCTCTTTGGGAGAACTCGGCTGATTCCTTCCAACAAAAGCAAAGCCACGCAAGGAGGATTAGTTTTGGTCGTAAGGTTGAGCTAACTGCTGGCAGGATAAACACTCCATGAATAAAGCCATTAGGATAGTCACCTGGACGAACGCTTTAGAAATGTTTCAAGGTGAACCTGTAGATTGGGCTTATCCACTTTGTTTTATCTGTCACGTTTTACTAGACATGCAGAATCTTCTCATCCTCTGCAAGATGCTCCTCAGGAGAACCGGCCTGTCGGCAATGAAGACCGAGAGATGTCGCAACACGTACGTGTCCAGCTGCAGACGGTAGACGTAGTTATTTTTGTGCTTCCCAATACTCATGGATAAAACGATGTAAGTGTGAAGGTGCTGGTACTGCACTACGTTCCGTTTGTACCGTAGGAGTGTGCTGGTAGTCCGTTCTCAACGCGCTGCAGCGACAGGCTTCTCTTCTCAGCCTGCCATGGGTGGAAAACCCTGATCAAGTATTGCTTGTGCCCCCCAACGAGGCAGGCGAGGGCCTGTGGTGCTGGAAAAGCAGAAGGCGACGTTACCTCCAGCACAATACTCAGTACGACTCCTCGAGGGTCTGTCAAACAGGAGACGCTGGGGTAGAAAGCCCAAAGTGCTGGGAGCCAGTTTTGGTTCAGCCTCGGGTCTCTCAGAATGCAGTCGGATGGCTCAGTGCCAAGAGTAGGAGGAGGTTTGCTTCTCCACCCCCTCTTAGATTTGTGATGGGTTTGTTTTCCACCACTGCGGTACGTCAAGAGGGCTCACACAGCGTCCTGCTGACCCTGTGTGCCTTGGAAAAGGAGGGAGGGTTCGGAACACCTTCCTCATACACTTTTGTAGCAGTGGGGCGTTAAATCCGCTCGCCCATCTTGCACACCCGCACTGCTGGTACCTGGAAGCCTTCCACTGTGCCCCAGCCGTGGTGCCGTGCCAGGGTCGGACGGGCAGTGAAGTGACTGGGGACTGGTTGTGCTGCAGGAGCCAAGCCCGGCTCAGCAGCCTCTTCTACAAGAGCTGTGGTGAGAGTATGTGCTCCACGGTTCTTGGGTGAAGCCTGGCAAATGTGTTCGGGTGGTTTTGATTAAGGGTACAGCCACCATGGACCTGCCAAGGAGAGGTGTCAGCAAAGCCCTCGCTCTTTTTCAGAAAGAGCAGGGGAGAGGAACTGTGGGACGTGGTGAAATTCTTAGAACCGACTAAATCTTCCCCACCATCAGAAATCTCATCCCAATCCTCACGGAGGGTCGGTCACTCCTTCAAAGGATGTAGCAGTTGCTTTGTGGGCACCTGCCCCTTTACGTCCGAGGCTGGTTACTTCCTGGGTTCTTGCCTCCTCTGACAAGGTTGTGCAGCCCTGGGCACAGCAGGAGGTGATGTTACATCGAAGTACGGCCCTGGGCGCAGCAGGAGGTGATGTCTTTACATCACAGTCGTACTTCGTTACGGTCCTGGGTGGCAGCAGCTTTGTAAGAGCTGCCTTACTGTCCAGGGGGATCGACTGGTTCCATGAGCTCCCGCGTGCTTTTATCGTTGCTAGGCCCTTCCAAGTGGTGAAGATGATGAAGACGACAGTGACAGCGACAGCGATGATGACGACGTGAAAGTGACTATTGGCAACATTAAGACGGGAGCGCCCTCGTACATGTATGTGATCGGAGGTAGCTCTGGCGCGTCGGTTGGGGTGGAAAGGGGGGGTGAGAGCTGCTGGGAGGTGTGGGAGTAAGGACTGGAACACCGAAATGGGGGTGGAAGCTGATGGGCAGCTCCGGCCTGTAATTCCTTGTTGGAGAATCCATCTAGAAAATAGGAATGATAATTCATGTGTCTGCTGTTGGACAATTAATCCAATAATGTGATTCGTCAGGCAAAGTCAGAGGTGGGACGTTACATTTAATTAGTTATCTGTGAAAACTTCAAGCACCAAAATCTGTATTGATAAGAATTTGCATAAGCTGTGAATTCACTGATTTTCAGCTGTCTGATTTTTCGTGATTCGGAAATGGTGACGCTGGAGTTGCAAACCAGGAAATTACGTCACTGACTTCAAATTCTACCTAATTAGCATCGAATAAAACCACAAAGACAGCGTTTTGCTTGCTGCTAGCAGCCTTCCCCTTCAGGAAATGACTTGGGTCTGCGCTGCAGCATATTCCAAGTTTTCCACGTCATGGATAATGCCCTCCTCTTGCTGCAGAGGTGTTTCAGTCTGATGATCGCACTGAGTAGCAATGTCCGTCCATTAGCACCTCGCTAGATCTCCAGGCATCTTTTTCCAAATCTGCTGCTACCACCTTTCTCTCCTCCTTCTGTGAGCTACATGCAGCTGGGATTTCCACGGTGTTCAGCTCCGTTCAAATCCTGAGCACATTCCTGGGCGGGATGGTAACTGCTGCCCTTTGAAACGAGCTTTCCCTTCGGGCTCCAGACAGCCCTCGTGTGTTCGGCTGTTGGTCGGCAAACGTTTGCTGGCTTTCCGTAGGGTTAGAAAACGTGGGATCTCGCTTGTGAGGTGTTGAGGCTTTTGTACTGAAAGTCGGAGAGAGGCGTGAATACACCCAAAGGACCTGAGCGTCTTCTGAAAGATGTCAGGGCTTGAATACCTCCTGCATGAAACTCCTGACCCCAGCCATCTGTTCGATACCAACGGAGTGATTCTTTTCCATATAGGGGAACTCCCATGAATCTAAACTTAAAAACGGGTAGAGGCTATGGAGCGTCTGCTTCAGGTATTGCTGCTGTTTTTATCCTTCACCTTTTGCAATATTCCCCTTTCCTGGCACTGAGAGCTGGAGCAGCTGAATCTTGGTCTCTGTTCGGGGGGATGTCAAATGAGTGCATCTTATTTAATCTGGGAAGAGCAAGTGCGTTCCCTAAAGACAAGCTCTCCTAGGGCAGTCTGAGGATCCAGGGGGCCGTGGGATGATTTAATTGCCCATCACTGAACAAGCTGATGATAATTCTGTTGAAAGTAGAAAATGAAATACATTGATTATTACTTTTATAGTAAAACCCCAGGGTATTTCTGAACGATATCGTTGCGCTGGGCCCAAAAATTTGACATTGCCTGGAGAAGAGCTTCGGCTCTGTGGTCAGTCTGCTGAGCTACTCGGGGTGTAAGATACTCAAAGGAACTAACTCTGGCCTCGAGTCTCAACTGTGCGCGTTTCTGCAGATGAAATTCTCCCCACCGTTCCCTTTAGTTTATACTGTGTTTGAGGCTTGGGTTCCGTCCTTCCTCGTGGGCGAGACTCTCCTTTTGCGGGCCTCGAATGCTCCCCTGAGTTTCTGTGGCAACAATTTACCTGCTGGTGGGGAAAATAAGGACAAATCCCCCTGGAAGATTCTGTACCTGACAGGCGTTTGCTGACTCCAGTTGCCACACGGTCCACCTCAGACTGGTCCTAAAAAAGTCTCTGTTAGGAGAAAATGTGGTATCTTGGGAGGGAAAAAGAAGTATTTTCCTTGGGGAGAAAAGTAAATTTTTTGTCATTTGGGGCAAATTTCATGCACGCTGTAATCATTTGCTCCACTTGTCTGTAGTTCTAATCTGGGTTAAACGTGCTGCTCAGCTGCCAGTGCTGCCTGCCCTGGATCTTTGTTTACAGAGTGGCTGAATTTCAATTCCGAAGTTGATTGTGGTCACCTACGTGCCGTAAACCAGTAATGAATTCACAGTAGCGCTCTGGTTTGGACTGGAGTAATTTGCTCAGCAAATTAGTGGATTAAAGGTATTGCATTCAAACTAGTACTGGTTTCTCTCTCTCCAAAGCCAAGTTGCAGCCCAAAGGTATTGACTTAGATGCCGCAGGGAATATAAATGGATTGCCTGTTATAGAAGTGGATTTGGATTCATTTGAAGACAAACCGTGGAGGAAACCAGGTGGGGCCTCACAGTTTCTTGTGGTAAATATTTTCTGCAGTTTTAGTTGTCTCTCTTTAATTTCACCCGTAATTTCTCTCCATTTATTGCTTCCAGGGAACAGGGAAGTAGGAAAAATGCATCTTGCTCAGGCTCTGATGCCTGTCTAGGCAAGCGGTGACATTTGCTGATTGATCAAGCCATGCTAATTAAAATTGGGTTGCATTTACTCGTTACCTTAACTCCCCTAAAGGGAGCAACTATTTATTTTAATCTTCTATTTTATTAATTCCCTAGTTCCAGAAAACATTGCACTGATATCAGCACGATAATCTTTGTCGGCCTTAAAGTCAGTTGAGCAGGATCCAGATGTGGCTGCTGACGCAGACGGCAGCGATGGAAAAAAAACGGGCGTCCGTCAGGACGGCCGAGCCCGAGCCATCCGTGTGTGAATCCTCCTGCTGCAAACAGTGGGGTGAAAGGGAGGGAAGCGCTGTCCACTCCTGACAAGAAAGGCTAGCGGTTTTCTTGTTGAAAAGCTGCATTGCCCAGTTCTTTGCTAGATTCTGCCCCCAGGGCTGTAGCTGGGAGTGAGCAGCCCCCACTTAGTGCTAGGAAGAAGATAAATTGGAAGCAAAACAATGAAGAGAAGTTCAGAGATAAAGCATGGAAATCCGTGTGGTCATGCTGACCTCCTGGAGCAGAACGAAGCCAGCGAGCCTTGAGACTGTGTTGAGGTACGAATAGAGGGAAGGTGGCTGCAGTGGTGTGGCCTCTAAGTTCATTTTAGATGGCGAGTAGGTTGTTACTCCACAGCCTTTCAGGCTTACGTCCTTCACAGGTACTTGTGGAGCAAGTTGGTATCTCTGAGGGAGAGGAAGAAGAAAATATGATGTGGAAGAACTGATAGAGGGCTGAAATGTCAGCTGATAAGATAGGTAACTGTGATGCTGAGTTTGTGTCGCTGAGGTTTGCGTGTTTGGGTGGTACAGCA